GAAGTTTTTGGGTTTGGGGTTTAGGGAATTAGCTTAGGTTGCCATAATTTGGAGGATTGTTTTTTGTTGCTGTAGTTCCTTATCATGGTAATTTTAATCACGTTTCTTAACAGAAGCCCAAAACCAAAACAGTCTCTTCGGAGAGTTAGGTGGGGGGTTCAGGGTGCGGGATTTAGGGCTGTAGAGTACAGGATTGATTTAGGGCTCTTAGAGTTCAGGCTTTAGGGTCTCTATTCTTGACGCTTCGAGCTCGTCGCAAACCCGACACACCCCTAAATCCGAAGCACAAGCCCCTAAGTCCTGAAGCCCTGAAGCCCTAACTCCCTAAACCCAAATCCCCGAAACCCGAAACCCCTAATATAGGAGCGGTAGTAATTAGACGAAGGCTTTTGGGGTATGGTATACTCTAATATGGGTAGTTCTTTAAAATAGGGTNNGGCCCTTTTTATAAGGGTGCCGTAGTATTTTGGGGACCCAAAAAAGGACTCTAATATCCCATGTATAGTAAGGAACCCCCCAAAACCCTGTTCGAATTAGTAAAGCCCCTGCCATGACCTCCTGCACACCCTCGAAACAAGTGCAGGTCCCCTGCGAAAACCCTGGGTCTCCAGAGGAGTTATGTTTTAGGATTTAGGGTTTAGGGTTTGGGGTTTAGGGTTCGGGGTTTAGGGTTTTTTCACTGCCATACAGCCGCCAGGAGACCGGGTACTTAGGTGTGTATGTTATGTATATGGACTGTCTAAGGTGTTGTTCGGCTTGCGGTTTTGGGAGTAGACTGCGGTTTAGGGCTAAGGGTTGATGCCGACAATACCATCTGCCTCTCGCACATGTTGATTGGTAGCTGGTATCATCAGCCCTGGTAACTTGTTCATGGCACTCGGAGCCATGTTACTGAGTGTCACTCTAAACCACGCTAGTGAATGTTGGTATGGCGGATTTGCGTGCTGCAGCTTTCGTTTTGCTACTAAGAAAGCCGACCCCGCTGTCGGCGGACATTACAAACATCTACAGTCATTAAATTAAGAGCTGGTTACTTTTTCTGGTCGAGAACAGTATTAACATGTCCTATAGACAATTATGGACCATAAGTACCATCGTAGCCTTGCAGCAAAACGATACAATTGAAAATGCGGCGCCTTGACTCCTTGCATAGTTCCTGCGGGAGAGTTGAACCATAGGATTTACCAGGGGATCCCATGGCCTTAGCTCCAGAGCTCTCAAGCTAGCGTTTTAAGTTGAACTGGTTGCGACCTTGCGCAGTTTGCAGCGGGTGAGGAGGGCTTGCATTGGCGGCTTCGCCGGGCCAGTTCTTGAAAGCCATCGTGAATGGAATTTGTCAGCTACGTTGAGATGTAGGTTCGGCCGTAGTGGGCCAGGGCGTTTTAAGGATTATCGTCTCTAAGCCCTAAACCCTAAACCCTATTATCGACGTTTGAGCGGGTGTTTTCCAAAGTTTCTGAGGCGCCTCTGCGCAGCTTCCGCATTGCGCATCCCAAGCTGCTCAAGTCTGGCTTCCTGACTCGGTTTAAGGTTTTGGGGTTTCAGGTTTAGTGTCTGCAAGATATCGTGATGCTGAGAGTGCCCTCCAGGCAACATTAATGTGAGACTACGTGCGGCGGCTGAGTCTTGCAGTTTTTTAGTCACGACTTTGCAGATTCGCTTCGGACGAGTATGCAGTTGGAATAAATCGGAGCAGATTTTCGAGTACGACTCGTTCATTTGTTATATCTTCCACGTTTCAATTCATGGCCTTCAGCTATACGCCCACCTTCCAAAACTTTTCGCATAAGGATGTCGGACAGGGCTGGGGCCAAGCAAAAGCAGCGCAGGGTGGGAGGGCGACAAAAATCCAACACCCTGCACTGTATATGTAAACCATAATAAGGAACCCCTCAAAAAGGTACTGGTATTTTTTTCGGCTTTAGGTAAACCCACAAATCCCATCCCTGAAGGAAGCCCCGGTGTCACCCTGTGTGGGAATCTTCGGTTACACTGAGTTACGGCGGCCGCTTTTCCAGCCTCATCCCTCACAGAGCCCGCTTCCGTGAGGCCGCAACAGAAAGAGTGGCTACAGGGGCCGGGATAATTAGCATTGTCGGGTTCCTATCCACGGCTCCCTTTAAAGGGTTCTACAAGGTGTAAGTATCACAAAGGCTTTATGGTATAGGGGCCTCAATATAATTGGAATAGAGTTTTGAGGTAGATCATACTTTTGGTATAGCTGGCAACTATTCCGACTTATGCTGCTACATGTGAGAGTGTACGGATGATGATTAAGGTTAGCAGCGGTTAGCAAAAGGGTTTGTGGATATGATAGCTTTGTGAAGTGTGTCTAGGGCTTCATTGTACATTCAAGGGTTTGGGGTTAGGGATGAGAGTGTTGAGATTTAGGGCTCCGTGGGGTGAGGGCCTCAGAAACGTATAGGGGCTTCAAGTCTAGAACTGGAGATGATTTCGGTGTCGAATCAGCTACAAAACTGGCTCTGCTTGCAACAAAATCTGGAGCCCTCACCAAACCCTAGTGTTCAAGGCCTTCGAGGTGTCAAGGTGTCGGAACACATATTGATTTCAAGGGTTAGTGATCCTGAATCCTAGACCCAAAAAGGCCATGAAGCTCTAAACCCTGATATAGAGTCCTTTCAGGGCCCTTACTGCAGACATAATGCTTCCTATAGCCTCACCAAGAACTGGAGACGGACGGCTCGACACACCGAGCCTTTTTGATGCAGGTCCACGCATCCGTCCAAGGAGAAGCCGTCGAAGAGCACAGGGCCTTCGGTGTGCACCATGCCCGGGCCTTGGCAGATGGCGTCAGCGTTACGACTGGTGTTACTGCTGCTTCTGCTAGTGCTACAACAACAAGACGAACAACAACAACAACAACAACAACAACAACAACAACAACAACAACAACCACGACGACGACGACTACTACTACTACTACCACTACTACTACTACAGCTACAGCTACAGCCACTGCCACTGCCACTGCCACTGCCGCTGCCGCTGCTACTGCTACTGCTACTGCTGCTGCTACTACTACAACTATGTTTCTACTACGACGATGACGAAACTCAAAGAACACAACTTTTAATGCTGATACTGATACTAGACACTAAACCTACCATGGCTAGCCGGCGAAGGGTGGCAAGGTACTATATCTCGGACTGTATCGTACTATATGGTGATGTATTTTGGTAGTATGTCACTGAATACGAGGTACTGGTGCTGCCTTCAGGGTGAGACAGCTCAGAGCCAAAGCAAATGGTGGTGCTAAGCGAAACACCTCTAGACTCTAAACCCCTAAACTACACAAAAAACCCTACCCACCCCCTTCCCCCCCAAAAAAAAATGACCCCTAAATCCACAGGCCAAGTCCGAAAACTCCACATGACACGAACGGAATCACGTCTTCGAGGCCCGCTGCCTAGCCACTGAAGCCGCAAGCCTACCTAAAACCCCCAAAAGAGTAGGTGAAATATAATGCCCCAAAACCTATAAAGGGCCATTATTCTACATACTTTCAGGGTCCAGGAAATCCCTATCATAAAGTGTGCAAAGAAAGGACGCCACGGGAAGCGCTCCGAAGAGATGATCGGCCACATGGCAGAGTTGGCTGCCAGGGCATACCCTTTTGAAGCAGTAGGGTCAGGTCGGGTTCGGGCTTTTGAAGTTTTGGCGTGGGCCTCTGTGCCCCGTAAATGCCAAAGAAGATCTCACCCGGATATACCCAGATTGCAAGGAAGCCGTTTGCGACCACAAGGAAGAAGCACCAGAGGCAGCAGAGTGTAGTATAGCACATAATGTACATATATATATATATATATGTAGAGAGAGAGTATAGTGTATAATGTTGTATGTAATATGCTATATCATATGAAAAAGTACAGATAGCATAATTTAGCATCTAATCTAGTAGTGGGCTTCTTGGGAGACTTGGTGTTGAAGTTTTTTTCGAGTTGGGGAGTCCTTCAGGCAATATTTGGCGCTATGCATGCGTCTCGGTGCGGGTTCCACAGCATGTCGTTTTAGGGTTTCGGGTTTCGGTTTAGGGTTTAGAGGGGTTCGGTTTAGGGATGAGGGTGTCATTTTGTTGTCGCGTGTTATCATGTGTTTTTGCTTCGGTTCGCGCGCTGTCTCTCTCTCTCTCTCTCCCGCTCTCGCTCTGTGTCTCTCTCGGGCTCACTCACTCTCTCACGCTCACACTCTCACTCACTCTCGCTGCCTGGGGCTCAGCGTTTTGGGGTCTAAAGAAAGCTTCGAGCCTGGGGCTTGCAGAGTTTAGGGTTTAGGGCTACCCTAAACCCTAAACCCTAAACCCTAAACCCCTCCGCATTCACGGGGTTTAGAGCTCCGGATTTCCTAAGCTTCTGGGATTCTTGGGTGGGTGGAGTGGTTTCTGACCGGAGAAGCGAGCTTCACGATGATGTTGCGTAGTAGGGGAGCCTTAATAGTTAGAATAGGGTTTGGGGGATATGTTATATAGTTTTTTAGAATAAGGAACCCCCAAAGCTCCATTCTAAGTATTAAGGCCCCTACACTAGTCCTATGGTTTTCATGAGTAGCTAACTCCTCCGCAGCAGACTCGCTTCCCTTAAACTTCTTGAAACCGGAACAGGAAAGATGAAAACTCTGAACCCTATAGGGTTTAGGGTTTAGGGACCCGAAACCCTATTTACAGGCTCATTTTCAAAAGTTGGGTTTAGAAGCGCGGTCAGCCCAATAAGGGTACGGCAACAAACACCCAGTTGTGAGCTACGTGTACCCTCCAAACTTTGAAAGGAGTATCTACGGAAATCAAAAACAGGCTACTCTCGAACTCGAACAGTGTAGGTTGTTGGTACAGGTACTGGATACTGACGCAAGTACGCCTCAAATCTCATTCAGCCTGAACTACCCTAGACCCTCATAAACCCTGCAGCTTGAACCTTAAACCCTATATATCCTGAATCCTGAACCCCAGGCCAAACCTCCGAACACCCTTTTTCCCTGCAACCTCAAACCTCACCACTGGACCCTTGGATTAACATATAGTGATTGGAATAGGTTTTAGGGTGTAGGGTTTTACGGCTTTTAGGGTTAAGGGCCCCGAAACCCTACTTATATAAAACAGGCCCCTATACTGAACACTTATATAGTAGCCTTTATAGTAACCTATTAAAGGAACCCTCAAAGCCCTATTCCCCATTCTACTCATTAAGGCCGCTATATCAAACCCGGGTCATTGAATGAACCGTACAGCCTGAACCCTAAACCCTAAATCTAGCACATTTTCAGGTGGCTGGTTACCGTTATAGGAGCCTTATAGAAGGTCTATATATACCTTATGGAAGCCTTCTAGAACCCCTTTTTACCCTAAACTCCCCACCTGTAGTTTCCTTTCCTAAACCCTTATAAACCCTAAACCCTAAACCCTAAACCCAACTAAACCCTTTTCCGTTTATTAAGGTCACTGTTTTAAATCGGGCCAAGGCTGCTACGTCCAGTGGCGCTGCCTGCATGTGAACGGGAATTGGGGTTGCTGTCGTGGGTTGTTAGGGTATGGAGGTTGAGGTTTAGGGTACGGATGTAGTTTCGTGCTGCTTTATCAGCTTCGGATTTCCGGATGCTTGTATGTCGATTGGGCTTGTGGTGCCCTTGCCAAGTCTTACTGCGTTTGCCCATAATGTGGCTCTTTTCCTTCGTATCATCATCTTTGCCATGCCTATATTTGCTACAGCTGCTGTTTCCCTTGCAATCGCCACAAAAGGCTGGACTAGGTGGTTGTCAACATTAGGGCCCGGTCTGGGTCTCCAAACTCTAGCCGCTAGCCTGCCGTATGAAGAGTAGAACTTATGGGGTTCCCGAACCGGAGCCCTGAGGATGACAGATTTCCGTTCCGTCTTACGGTTCAACGTTGAGCACGCAGGATTAAAATTATGGTATCTACGTTTCGGGTCTAGGGGCGCCGGGCTTATGGGGTTCAGGGTTGCGGTGGTCCTGTTTGAAGTATGACCAGCATCACCACTGCCACAAGTCTGCGCGGCAGGGTTCTCGTGGTTCAAGTTATGCTCGCTACTATCACGCACATTGGCATTGCATTCCTTGGTCGTCGTTAAGTTGGGGCCCCAACCTTAAACCCTACAAGCTCTACAAGTCTGCACGGCCAAAATCCGAAAAGCTTTGGCGAGCCCTCTTGCCATCATTGCCAGGCTGACGTTGTCAGGGCACTGGCTGCATCGATCCCAGCAGGTGCTCGCCTTCTTCTTGCAGGTCTAAGACTCTTAGAGTTGAGGCTGCTGTTCGGTTTGGGTTCCAGGTGCATAGAATAGCTGATTTCGGTGAATGAGGTCTTGGAGTAGTACTTCATCTCTGCGTTTTGAGGCCTCGGCAAACCCTAAAACCCTTACGCCAAGTCTTCACGAGATGCTCGTTTCATAGATTAAGATCATTCGAGCACCAGTTTGAACATCCGAGGGGTTTCGTGCGGGTACAAGGGTTTTGACGGTGGCCTCCGAAAGCTCCTCGAGAATCCCGATACTTCTCCTTGCCGACCTTGATTGATGTTTTTTATCGAGTGGTATAGCTGTTGATGGGTTGAAAGGTTTAAAGTTGTAGGAGTTTAGGGCGGCATGGCTCCGCGACAGCACTAAAGCTCCATGGCCATTGGTCTGAGGTCGAGGGTTTGGGCTGCTTGAAGACTTGAAAGCCGGATACTTAACCCAAGAAGCGTTTTCAAACCATGAGTTTCTACGTAACCGACTGAGCCGCAGGAATCACACAAAGAGTTTACTTAGGACACTAACGGCACAACACATCCCAGTCACAAACCCGTGTAGAAAAGCACCTGAATGAATCTTGCACCTTGCCTGAAGAACCCCCTTGGAGATGTTATTCCTGGTTCAGGGTTTAGGGGTTTAGGGTTTAGGGTTTAGGGTTTAGGGTTTATGGTTCTTGTTGACCCGTGTGCTTTCCGTGATTTGGGCATTGGCATTGCGAAGGTCAAGTCGCCAAACTCTACTGCATCCTTAACTGCGACATACTAACGGCCCTAAGCCCAACTGGAACCTTAGTTTTTAATTACTGCCCTATTAGTCTCTGAACCGCTTGACGCAGAAGGCCTTCACATGCCGAAACCCAAAGCGCTTATGTTGAGCCCTGAACGCTGAACCCAAAGCCCTAAACCCCCAAACGCTCAGCGAAGCAGGAGCCGCCAAAAGCTAAGATACTTCTTTGCAACAAGAAAGAAGCATTTCTTAGATCAGAACAATACGCAAAAACCTATGATATCCTATAGTCCTATGCAGCCCTTTACGAGCTCACCGTTAACAGGCCCAGGCCTATAAATTACTGTGTAGAACTGTAGAAATGGAAAACCGCACAAAGGCCTGTAAATGACTTCCATGTAGAAACCAGAAAACCATTTAACACCCTGTAACAACGCTAAGCCCGCAACCCTAAACCCTAACCTGTAACAAGTTGAATAAGAACCGACATCTATCATGTTTAGGGAACGCGAAAGCCAAGACCCCTAAACCCTAAACCCTAAACCCCTAATCCCCAAACCCTAAACCTTGACGGCAAAGTACAAAGTCAATATTTACCAATACTATTTTGGGTGGTTCCTTGTTGTAATTAGCGCATAATGGACCCTGCGAGACCTTATTCCAATTATTAAGGCCCCTACATGGTTGGTTGTCAAAATGTTGGTCCCTTTTTGGGTCCTTATTATAATACGGCACCTCTTATTTAGGGTACCCCAAAAGGGACCCTAATTTTGACAACCACCCACATTAACGCAAGCTTCCAACAGAACCGAAGCCGGAGCTCGAGAGCTTCCAACAGCGCTGGCAACAGTTCCAGGCCACTTTCCCTTGATTCTTCTGTCGGGTGTAGGGTTTGGGGTTTAGGGTTGCGGGGTGGGGTTCCTTTAAAGGGATCTATAAGGGCCCAACAGAGGATCTACAACAGGCTCCAAGGGTTTGGGGTTTGGGGTTTATTGGCTTTGAGGTTTTGGGGTTAGGGGGTTGAGGTTTAGGATTCAGGGGGTTTTGGGGTTTAGGCACTGGGCGATTACAAATGGTTACTGCAGGGGTTACTATAGGGTTGCTACAGTGGCGAGTATATGTGACGGTTTCAAGGTTTAGGATGTACTTCCCCTCTTTGTGGGCCTTCATGTCCCGAGTAGTGGAAGGGTGTTTGTTGATCAGAGGTTTACAGTAGGGCTTCGGGTCAGGGGAGTGGTTGCTGTTTGGGTTGCTGGAAGGCTTTGTGTTGAGGGTGACTGTACGGCCTTGACTTCCTGCAGGATTACGACCAAGGCTATATGGGTTTGTGTCAGAGGTTTTGGAATTTAGGCAGAACCCTTCTGCCTAACCCCCGCGCCTAATTAGGCAGGAGGGTTCCGAAGGCAAGGGTTCGGTGGGGTTCGGTGTGGCCTGGGTTTCTTAGGGCGCGGGGTCCACCGTTTTAGTGGATTTAGCCTCTTCGCAGGAGGTTCACCGAACCCTCGACCCCCAAGGCTGTTTGGGACTGGGTTCGGAAGTGTTCGGCCTAGGGTTGTGTATGGGTTTGGGTTTTGACCTTCGTAAAGGGCCCTTTTGCACAGAATTCTGGCCTCCTGGGCTCTCGGTGGAGATCGTCATGTTGACCCGCTTGTTCATCGTCAGGAAGAACAAGCAGAGGATCCTCTTGCACCTCAAGAGGGGGAGGGACCCGATGAGCAGGAAGCTGTACAAAGTGGTCGACCAGGAGATGACGCAGTACACCCGCCAGAGCAAGTTCCCGGTCGTCAACTACTTGGGGTGCATGCCCACCGCATCGGTAGGAATGAGGATTTACCTTCTAGGGCTTCAGGGCACTGAGGGTTTCGAGCATGAGGCATAAGGGTTTTGTTTTCGGGGCGTAGGGCTCAGGGGGATCTAAGGGTTTGAGGGTTTTGGTAGAGCTATCAGACGCGCTTTGTTCAAGCAGGAGCTGACCTCCGACCTCATTTCCATTCTAAATCAGGTAGCATCAGAGCATCCCCCTGAACAATCGTCAGCAACTACCAGAATTGCCATCAGCATGTTGACCATCTCCCAACAAACACACAACAAATCAAAACACAGTCCACCAGCGACCCCGGTACAAACCTGTTGTGCCAGCCAGTGGCTACAAGACTAGTAGCAGCAGGCACAGTCACAGGATCTACAAAGCGGAACTGGCGGAAGAACTGGGACCATTATCGCATAGACAGTCAAGGAGCTCCAGTTGCACCTCGATTGCAGGCCCATGTGGGAGGCTTGGTGGACACGCGGACACAGAAGAGCCGCGATGCAGGAGCTGTAGAATTGCTGGAGTTGGTGCGGTGTAGGATTTGAGCAGCCCGAGAAAATTGCATCTTTGTCTCAAAGCCAACAGCACATCTTCGAGTCGTCGGTATCAGGCGCTGAGCCACCTGAGCCCCGCAACCCTGAACCCACCGGCAGGAGCATCCACTGCCAGGGCAATGAAGGCTCGGGGAAGCTTTGGTCTCAAGCTTTGGTGTTTCGGGCTGAGGGCGGTTTAGGGCTTAGGGTCTGTAGGGGTTTAGGGGTTGGGGGTTTAGGGTTTAGGGGTTTAGGGTTTAGGGGTTTAGGGGTTTAGGGTTTAGGGTTTAGGGTTCTAGGGTTCAAGGGTTCAGGGGTTAAGGCTAGTTTAGTGCTAGGCGTCTGGAGGGTTTCAGGTGGAGGATCTCCGGGCTTTCAAAACCATGGGGCTTAGGCTTCGGCTTGGGGGGGGGGCTCGGAGGTTCTTGGGGCCTTTGAAAACTTTGGGGTTGTTTCATGAGGGTGCACAACTTCCTTCTATGGCTGTTATATTTAGGTACGGGTTCATGCCCAGAGGTTCTGAAAGAAGTTTCGCGGGTTCGGGCTTAAAACGTTTAAGGCTTCAGAGATTAGGGGTTCCAGGGTGTTTTTGTTGCATCCACTGTGGTAGTACTGGTACGAGTGCTAGTGCTAGTACTAGATTTAATGCTAGGGTTAAATTGGCCGATTGTTTGATGTCGGCCTTATGATTGATGTTCAAACTAAGCCCTTAAAGCTATTTTAAACCTTGGCCCACCAAACTGAGCGCCTAAACCCTAAACCCTAAATCCTAAACCCTAAACCCTAAGCTCTAAACCCTAAACCCTTAACCAGCAGCACTGATTGCAGCAGCGATCTCCGCAAGCCCCAGCCAGGTCGAAGTCGCAGAAGCTTCCGCTGCGGAGGACGGACGAGGGTTCAGGTCTTTGGAGGTTTCAGGGTTTAGGGTTTAGGG